TTACCCAAAAACAAGCTTAAAACACTTGATTTCTCTTAACTCCTAAAACCCAAAACCTATGATTTAGGGCTTAAAAATGAGCTTGAGGGAAGACTTGCCTTGGTTTCTTCAAACTAAGCTTGAAACTCTAAAAACTTGCTCCTCTTTGGCTTATTCTGGAGAATGAATAAGAAAGGATAAGAGAAAATGAAGAAAAATATATTTTTGGGGAAGGCTCTCGTGAAATCCATCTAAATAAGGGGGTTTATAACCTTTAAAACCAACTATAGGTAAATTGTTCTTTTGGTCCCTATCCTTTTTACCTCTACTTAAAACCATCATTTACTTTTAACTCTTGGGTCTTACTTAAGCCCAATACATATATAACTTGCTCCAACTATCTTGGGAAGTTTAATTAGCTTGACTTAAAAGTCTCGGGTTTACCCAAAATACTGACCCTGGTTTCGGGGAATTACAACTCTCTCATCCTATAAGAAATTTAATCCCCAAAATTTCCCTAGAGAAAGGTCTCACTCTACAACTCTACTGGGCATCTAAGACATATCTTGACTGCTAGAACATCTAACTCTAAAGGCTATAAACTCAAACCCCTATCTTAAAATCATCTGCTAAAAAACTCTCTTTAATTGGGAATCCTTATGGCACACCACAACTCACTGCTAATACTAAATTTTTTCTTTACTATCCTTACTTAATTGGGTTAACTTAAAGCACAACCTGATAACCTCTTCTATCCACTAGGTCTAGACAACTCTGAGACCTTATGGCATTTGTCAACTCTTCTACTAAAATCAACTTCTATGCTTCTGTTGTGAAACTCTAATCTAATACTCATCTACGGTAACCAATTACTTTCTCGACCTTATAGTTTCTCCATGAAACCTTCACTAAAGAAAACCTTTTGTGCCAAAATGGTCGATATAAACTTTAAACCCTTGAGCTTCTCACTGAATATCACTACCTTACTTTTATCTTCCTTTATAAGCTTAAGTTATCGAACTTACACTTTAAACTCACATCTATTGGGGCCTGAGCTCTCTACTATTGCAGATGCAAAAGTATGATATAACTCTGTAAGGCATGTATACTCATAAACTCCTTACTGACACTGACTGATTCTAACTGACAATGACTACCACTAACATGCGGGTCCTAAGAATGTCAATCCTGACGCTCTAATGCCACTAAATATAACACCTTATATTAGTACGACACACATTCGACCGATTTAATTTTCTACACGGAACCAACTAAGTGGCCAACCAACTTATTCTTACTTTCTTGTACTTTAAAACAACTCTTTATATCTAAGAGCCCTCAAAATATATAGGTACCTACAGACTGACTCTTAACTGACTTTACAACTCAATACAACTGAATTTATGAATATACATGTCATTTCAGAAACGTGTGACGTATTCTTCTCTGTATTGGGTCTGGACCTTGATCTCTCTAAAGCTTTTGAACTGCTGGATCTACTAACCTGCCCACGGAAACATCCCGCCACACTAATAACTAAAATATACTAAAAACATCGCTGAAAAGATCAAGCGATCAAGTCTATTGGTATAAGGTCTACTGCTATATGTTATACTAGCCCACTCCATGAGTGTTGGACCTTGCGCCCAAGCTAGTTTGCTTTAAAACCAATTTAGTGAGTATTCTCAAATACTCACATTCTAATCTATAGTAGACATCATGGTACGGTTGAGGGTTTTACATCTCAAAACTTACACACCCCTCTAGTCTACCCTGGATATGGCCCACAAAATTCTATGCATCAGAAACTATACCCGTGACTAACCCATATTTTCTTCTAAAAAGTGTGAAGGCCTCGGTAAACATAGTTAGTCCGAAGGGTCTTGATCATACCTAAGGATATTCAGATAGAATTTATATTGTTGACTCTGCTACATTTTCTAAAGGAACTTGGGTGTCCTGGTCGTTTTCCCGAGCATTCAAACAAGGCTAGTTTTATTTCTCCTAACTTTAACTTGTTTCTACGTTTGAAAATAACATTAACGTTCTCACTTGTAGTCTTATTTGAAGAATTACTAACGTGTTGGGGTATCTCGAGTCTAAAACTACTTTTATTGCTCAAAATATACTAAAAATATTGATAATCATGTTAAAGTTTCAATACTTTATATAAGTACCGATACTTTTTAGCCCTCTATTTTGGCAAGTTTTGATACTTACCTGGGAGTTTCGAAACTATTTCTAAAGTATCGATACTCCACCTGCAGAAAATATATTTTCGCTCAAAAATCTCCTATTCATCTAACCCAAAGACCTTAGTGAGGCCCCCAAACGTTCTTAAAATCTTATGTGATTAAAGAGGAGCATAAATAAGGCTTTATAAGGTACTTAAACATCAAAACATGAAACTACCATGATCATGCAACACTAAGCTTTATAATTAACTCTCAAGATAGAAAACATCTCTAATGATCACTAAGAGTATGAAAGGGTTGATAGTGTGTTACCTGGCCTCCTTGGTTGCTAAAATCTCCCTCAACTCAACTAGGAGTCACCTTACCTTTATCATTTGTTTGGAAACGCTTTTTCACCTTTTTAACTAAACCAAGCAAGGAAATGGATCACTACTCAACTAGAGGTTAGATTAAGCTTAAATATAACTCATACAACTCAAATATACAAAAAAAAACAAGATTAAAACACTTGATTTCTCTCAACTCCCAAAAATCAAAAACTTGTGATTTAGGGCTTAAAAAGGAGCTTGAAGGAAGAAGATTAAGGTTCTTACCTTGGTTTCTTCAAACTAAACTTGGAACTCTAAAAACTTGCTCCTCTTTGTTTTATTCTGGAGAAGGAAGAATAAGATATTTTTGGGGAAGATTTTCGTGAAATCCATCTAAATAAGGGGGTTTATAACCTTTAAAACCTTTAAATCCATCTAAATATAGGTAAACTACTCTTTTGGTCCATCTCTTTTTTACTACTTAAAACATCACTTACCCTTATCTCTTGGGCCTTACTTAAGCCCAATACATATATAACTTGGTCCATATATCTTGGGCAGTTTAATTGGATTAACTTAAAGGTCTTGGGTTGACCCAAACTACATACCCGGGTTTTTGGGAATTACACGTAATCCCACAATCGCGAATACACATTTTTAGTAACAACATAAACATTATTAGATGAAAATAACAATTTATAACCGCTTTTAATAGTAAAAATTTATAACCGCCTTTAACGCTGTAAACACAATTACCATCTTTGCACCAAACCCGACGATCTAAATTATAGAAAATTATAAGCGATATATTGAGAATACTCTGTGCCTCTTCCTCATTAAATAAAGTAGAAATACGAGCTACATCACATTCATGATTAGGATAATTAATTAGGTCTGAAACCCACTCGACATTCGCTGCCCGAAGAGAAGTAATCTGTATCAGTTCAGAGCCCGGTAACCAGTAGTCGTTCTATATAGAAATGGAGGTGTATGTTCCCACTCGCCATTTAAGTCCCAACTCCAACAACCCTCGGGCACTCTAGGTATTGCGCCAGATGTATGATGACTGAAAACCAAGACGAGCTGACAGAAAATCACTGTGAGGAAAATATTTCGCCTTAAGTAGACGACTAACCAACGAGCTAGGATTATGAATAATCATTAACCTTTTTTTGCAAGTAGAGCGACATTGAACCTTTTCATATCCTAAAACCCTAAGCCCTCAAAAATCTAGTTGACAAAGTTGATCCCACGCACACCAGTGAATAACCCATCTCGTCTTTGATTTTTGCCACCAGAATTTCACCATAATACTCTCAATATATTTGCATACACCTTTTGAAAGGAGGAAACAATTCATAGCATAAAGGGGAAGGGCTTGTAAGACAAATTTAATAAACACTTCCTTACCGCCTTGGGACAAGCATCTAATACTCCAACTATGAGTGCGAGAACAAAAATAATCCTTCAAATAAGTAAATGCCACCCTCTTACTCTGACCTACAATTGCCGGAAGACCCACATACTTCTCCGGGTTAGAGGAATTAGATACCTGAAGGATACGACTTACATCATTTCGGTTTTAATTGTGCACATTAGAACTGAAAAATAACCTATACTTATCAAAATTTATCAGTTGTCCCGAACATTCCCCATAACACCTAAGTATGTCCTTAATCATATTAGTTGTCATTGCATTTGCTTTACCAAAATTAAGGTTATCATATGCAAATAGCAAATAAGTTATCGATGAAGCACATTGATTCAGCTTTATTCCTTGAAAGTCTTCCCTACTAGCATCTTTACGCAACACGGAATATAAGCCTTCACTACAAATTAAGAACAAATAAGGACTTAGAGGATCACCCTGACCTAATCCTCTCGAAGGGATAAAGACCTCACCCACTAAGCCATTGATCACATATACATAAGTTACCAAAGTCACACATATTCGAACCATATCAATCCAGTTCATCGAGAAGCCCATTTTCAACATAATCGCCCAAATGAAACTCCACTCCACTCTATCTTAGGCCTTATTCATATCAAGTTTGAGTGCAAAGTAGCATTTCCTACCTTCCCGCTTTCTAACGAAAGAGTGCAAAACTTCATAGGCCACAATGATGTTGTCCGTAATCATACAACCCGGAACAAAAGCGCTCTGAGACTCATCGATGCAAACATCCAGAAAGCTCTGCATTCAATTCACCAACATCTTTGATATAATCTTGAAAAGCACATTGTACAAACTGATAGGGCGAAACTGGGACAACCTAAACGAGTTGGATACTTTTGAAATCAAGACAATATGAGTTCGATTAACCAAATTCATATTAGGTTAACCATTAAGGAGACCTATATAGAAATCTGCAACCTCTGCACCAATAATGTGCCAAAAACGTTGGTAGAACAGTGCACCCAAACCATCCTCAGCTGAGGCTTTCAACTGGCTTATGGATTTTACTACAGTATAAACATCCTCCACAGAAAACAGTCTACCCATATCTGTGTTCATCTCCTACGAAATATTCTGATGAATGCCATCCAAAATCTCCTCATCAATATCAATAACAGATAAAGAAAATAACTCCATGAAATAAGCACGAGCATACGAGTTCATCTCAACAACACTCCTCTCAAAATGATTTCCCACTTCGTTATCCAAGTAATCAATGTGATTGTGCCTTTTCCTACTCGAAGAATGTCTATGAGAAAAGGCAGTGATAATGTCCCTACGCAGTCAATTAGCACTAGCCCGTTGCTCCCAATAAAGTTCTGATTTATCCATATCCAGATTCAATTACAATATCACATCGATCATTTATCCCAAAACATCATCAGTGGAATCTAACTCAACTAACTCCCCCAACCACCTGTGAAGATCATGAGAAGTAACCCCCTATCTTTATAAATACGTCGAAACCACACACCTAGTCCCTGACTAACATGCTGAAGCTTTGTAGTTAGCATCCCCTCAACCTCATTCCACAACTTAACAACTTCAACCTCACAGGAATCCTCCAATAGCCAAGACGAATAAAAACGAAAATGCCATCGTTTACTTGTATCATTGAAAGAGTTTGTATTCAACAACAATGGGCAGTGATCAGACATCGAATGAATAAGATGAGACAATTTAAAATTCGGAAACAATACCTCCCAGGTATCAGTCACCACTCCTCTATCAAGGGGCTCTCCAATGTTTTTTGCAGTCATTCTACCTCTCTCCCAAGTAAACCAAGATCCAACAAAGCCAATATACGTTAAATTGCAATCCTCTAAAGCACAAAGAAACTCTTGCATCTACTGATCACCGTGAACTAAACCACAATTTTTCTTATGAGCATAGAGAATTTCATTGAAATCGCCAATGACAAGCCAAGGAAGATCAGGACAATCATTCCGACTATGAAAAAGATCCCAGGAATCCCTTCTACACGGCTCCCCAGGCGAGCCATAGAAACATGTGCACCTCTAACTATTACCCTCTGAATCACTAGAAAAAACCACATCAATGTGAGTGTAAATTAAAATACCAGGGGCCACCCTGTTCGATTCTGTCCACATCGACCACGTGAAATAGACGAAATAGATATCATCCTTCTCCTAATTCCGTTATAGAGACGCCACAATAGGGTGCCAGACATTCGCCAAAGTAGATCGCATTGCCTGAAAATTTATCATCGGAGGTTGACAGAGACCTCCCAACGAAACAAGTGGTAAAAAGAGATCGGTGTACTGTTTCTAGATTGCGTCAAAATTAAAACTTCATCTTCCTTTTGGCCTAGATTTAACACACCCAAATCGCGATCTAGATCCCTCATAGCCCCTCCTTCACAGGCCAAAAAACTAAGAAACCACTAAAAACGAGGAAACACAGGAAAAGAAAAAGACAACTAGCAAAACTAGAAGACTGACAAACCAGAGGAAGTGCCACAAAGAGGCAGAAGAAAACAGTGTACCAAAAAGTAGAGTAAAAATCTTGTTTAATGGGAAATTTTTTTTTCTTCAAGATACTAAAATACTATAATATCACATCTACATATTATATAACCGAATGATAATATTTATTAAAAAACAAATATTTATTATGCAAGGTTCGTTGATCTTGATTTATTTAGTAAGATGAGATACTAGATTTATTAAGCAAGGTCGGGGATTCGAATATTGACGTTTGCGAATGGAGCAAATTAGGTTAGGAGAGTCTCCCTCGCCTATGTAATAACCAATCTAGATTAGTCGATCAATAGATCGGATACCAATGATTAATTAAAAATAATAATGATATCTATTAGAAAGAAAATAAATATATTTATTTTTAAATATGTAAAATTAAATCAAAATCAAACTTTACGTATATGATTAAACTAAAATTAGAAAATGCAACTTAACATATGAAAAGTTCAAACACAACTATAATTCATTAAACATCACGACAATAATCAATAACAAAGTAATATGAAATATCGAATAATCATAACTGAAAATTAAAAAAAGAAAATCACCTATAAGGATTCCAAAAAAAAATTACAAAAATTATTTATCATTTCTAAAATCTCCTAAAAGATCATACTAAACAAGACGCTAGCAGCAAGCACCAGAACACTGGAATAAGTCGCTGTGGCAGATGACCCGTTGGGCGGGGTACTGGTTTGATTTCCGGACGGTACCGGAGAACCGGAAGGCGAAGTTGTAGGAGAAGGAGAAATGCCTTGTGGAGGTGCCGGTGGACTTAAACCCGGACCCGTAGACGGTGCCGGTGATAAACCGCCGGGAGTTGAAGAAGATGGTGAAGGAGATGTTGACGTAGGTGGGTTTGCAGTAGGACCATGAGCCACCGGAGACTGCGTCGGACCGTACTGTGGTGCATGATGAGTAGATGGAGTAGGACCATGAGCCATCGGAGACCGCGTCGGACCGTACTGTGGTGCATGATGAGTAGATGGCGTAGGACCATGAGCCACCGGAGACTGCGTCGGACCGTACTGTGGTGCATGATGAGTAGATGGCGTAGGACCATGAGCCACCGGAGACTGCGTCGGACCGTACTGTGGTGCATGATGAGTAGATGGCGTAGGACCATGAGCCATGGGTGAGCCAGTGGGGACCGAAGAAGGTGGACTTGAAATGGGTCCATGGTGATAAGGAGACTGTGCTGGCCCCGGAGTTGAACCCGTCGGAGGCTTAGCAACAGGGCCATGGTGCTCGGGTGACTGAGCCGGTGAAGAGGAGGAGCCTTTGGGTGGATAAGCAATAGGACCACCGTGGTGGTGGTTGGGTGACTGAGCTGGCCCCGGATATGGTGATTTCCCTGGGGGCTTAACAATCGGTGGTGGATGTATCGACGGAGTACCGTGTCTCTCCGCCATGACAACGGTGATCATTTTTTGACCCTTTGAACAATGATCCTCTTTACCACTAATGAAGAAGAAAGGACCCGAATGGGGAAACTTGAACTCCGAAGTTCCATTGCTCATTTCCATCAAAGGATGCTTTCGTTCACACTTGTAGTAATCATCTTTCTTCACCAACAAAACAGAGTCTGATCCTTTCTCATATTTAAAAACTGCAACAACAAAGAAACACATAAATCAAGAAATAATTCAACAAAAATGAATCAAAACACCAACAAGACACGAACTTACTTAGTACATCATTGACTTGGAACCTCTGTTTACCAGCCCAATCATTATATTTCTGATTAGGGTGCAAAACCCAGCCTTCTTTCCCACCAACATAGAAAGTATAGCAATGAGACGAACAAACAAAGCAAGCTAATAAAACTAGCAGCAGGGAGAGAAACCTCTGAAATTTCATAGGTGAGAGACTCTGCTTTTTCCCTTATTTTTTACTGTTCCTTTAGCTCAAAAGAAAGGCAAAAGTTAAATCTGATCTCTGTGTGTGATGAATACGACTATATATAGAGAGATACACGCATGAAGCTTCAAAGAAACCTCTGGAAACCCAAAGCTTTCAATTTTGGAAATCAACAGTTTTTGGGGAGGAAGTGAAAAATGTGTAGGCTAAATTGTTGAGAGTAACATCATTTGAATGAATGAGATAACACGCAGCGTATGTTAGGTGGTGTTGATTTTTCAAGTCTTTTGAGGCTAAGTTTTGGACCGGTTACGTGGCAAACGATGGAAATCATTCCACGTTTATGGAGTTTAATGTATATTTTATGAAAAAATTTAGAGTTCGAAATTTAAATTTAATTTAGTTCGGTTTAAACACTATATAATGTGATTATATGGAGAATATAAAATTGAAAGAAAGTACAAATTTATAATGAAAGAAAAGAAAATAAATTTTTGCCTATTTTCTACAAAATGCAACCAACATAGGAATGCAGGTTTGACGGGATGGACCACATATTAACCCCATCCATAAGCCCTGAATAAACCACAACACCACCAAAGCATAATTAGTGGAGAAAACTAAGAAAATAATAATAATTAGATTTTCATTTTCTATTAGAGTTGGATAAAAAAATCAAGTAGTTGCAATTCTTAAATGAATGATTTTTTCCTGTGATCCATAGTTTCCTCGCCTCGGCAGAGAATTTAAACTTGAATCCAAGTAGAATTGTCATGGGCATGCCAATAAGGTGGAATGTCCCCAAATTAGCTAATACTACCATCTTTTGCCAACCACAGCCTCTTACAACCCCTGCAACATGCTTTCCAGGTATGTCTGGTAAAACTCACCAAACCATTCCTGCATATGGAAGGGCTAATTTAGAATATTGTATGATGTAACGAAATGATTCAGAAGACAATCCATTCCATGTGTTCTTAAATCTGTTGGCGGAAACGACATATATAGGTAACGATATCCATATCGAAATCGATGCCGCCAGGGCAGAACCTCTGAAACCAAAAACTGTCTTGTTTACCAAACCATGAACAACCACGAAATGGATACCCAATGGAATGACGGAGAACACGACCAAAGGTACAACAATGCTTGGTGTCTGAAGAAACCTCAGCGTGTTTTACAGAAAACCATAAGCAAACAAACCAGGAATCAAATACTTGATGTAAACAGCCGCAGCTCTCGAGATTTCAGGGTCTCGATGAAGCAAAACAAGGATTGGTTCGGTGAAGAACCATAGAATCGATATGATGATCGAGAAAAAGAAGGAAATAATGCAGGAAGCTTGGAGGTAAATCCCCAACATCTTGTACATCCTCGCACCAAATCCTTGTCCACAAAGGGTCTCCAATGCTCCACTTAAACCAGTCTGAAAACAACAACAATGGGAATTTACAAAACTTTCAGACAAGAACATGAAACAGGTTGAAGTTAAATAAAGAGGTTAAACCATGAAAGCAAAACCAGTGACAGTGGCCCATGAATTGGCAAGAGTTGAAGCAGCAAGCTCGACCTCACCCAGGTGGCCGGCAAACATGACAGAAACCATAGTAATTAAGTAGTAAAAAACATTGGATAACACCATTGGCAGTGCAAACAAGATCTGATCCTTAGCCTCCCCCAAATCCATAACTCTTTTCCAGAAACATCCCATTGTTTGTGGTTGAGGGTAAGCCAATCTCTCTTCTCAGAGGATCATGTTCATCACACAACTATAAATGCTATATTATACTCGAAAATACTTGTTTGGTATGCTTGGCGAAATCATAATTCAATTTTTAATATGATAACTTTATTAGTGCATAATTAATTAATGAAACTTTAACATAAATGAAATAATCAATGGCCAGATCATATTCCTCCTTTCTTTGCCAAAAATGGTTAAATTACATTCAGTGCATAATAAATGAAATGATTCTTCAGTTAAATTAATCAAATACTGCCAGATCATATACTCTTTACACACCTTAACGTAGAGATTACTCTAGAATCCAACGAGGATAGCAATTGGCATGCCAATAAAAATAGAAAGTCCCTAAATTAAGTTTTGCTAACCACATCACCTTGCAACTCCTGCAACATGATTTTCAGTTACACTCGTTTAATTGCAGCTGTTGTTGAGATTTCAGGGTCTTGATGAAGCAAAACAAGGATCGGTTCGGCGAAGAACCATAAAATCGATATGATGATTGAGAAAAAGAAGGATATAATACAGGAAGCTTGGAGGTACATCCACTGCATTTTGTACATCCTTGCACCAAATCCTTGACCACAAAGAGTGCTCATAATCAAGCTTTTCAAAAGTTTGAGAATTTAAAGAACTTTAAGTCATCCTTGAAAGCTTCTTTAAACCAACAAACCGAGCAAACTAAAAGTGACTACCGAATCCGTTTGACTACTTTTCTTCATTGTTTGAGATTTCTTTTACTTCAAGGATTGACATTTCGTGCTCATGATGAATCAAGTAACAAAGGAAATTTTCTTAAACTTTTGAATTGGATTGCGGAAAAGAAAAATGATGTGAGAAATATTGTTTTGAAAAATGCACCTAAAAATAATCAAATGATTGCACTTTCAGTTCAAGAAGTAATTATCAATTATTGTGGAAAAAAAACTACCAAGGCAATTGTGGAAGATCTTGGTAAGTATTATTTTGGAATACTAGTAGATGAGTAATGATGCATCTCAAAAAGAACAAACGGCTTTGTGTGTTCATTATGTTGATAAAAAGGGAATGATAAAGGAACAATTTCTTGAAATTGTTCATGTTGGAGATATCACACCTTTGTCTCTTAAAGAAGCTATATTTTCTTTGCTTAATGAGCATTCTTTGATTTTTTTTTTTTTGAAGAATGCATGGGCAATGGTATGATGGAGTTAGTAATATGAAGGGTGAACTTATTGATCTCAAAACTCTAATCATGAGAGAAACACAATCTACATACTACATACATTGTTTTGCTCACCAACTTCAATTAACTCTTGTTGTCATTTCTAAGAAAAATAAAGATTGTGGTTGACTTTTTGATATACTTGGAGATTTGTTGAATATTGTTGGATCATCATGTAAGCGAAAAAATTTGCTTAAAAGAAAACAAGCTGAAAAAATTACAAAAGCCTTTGAAAATGGTGAAATTGTGACTGGAAAATGTTTAAACCAAGAGCTTATTTTAGGTAGGCTAGGTGATACGCATTGAAGGTCTCATTATAATTTGATTTTAAATGTGATTGATTTGTATTCTACAATACGTGAGGTGCTTAATTTAATTGGTAAGGATGCTCGAAAAGCTGATAATATGAGTTTTGCAATAGAGTCATTTGATTTCATTTTCATGATTCACTTAATGAAGAGAATATTTGAGATTGTGAATGAAATAAACACAGCTTTACAAAGAAAACATCAAGATATTGTCAATGCTATGTCACTTGTTACTTTAGCTAAAGAAAGATTGCAAAATATGAGGAAAAAATGAGTGGGAGTCTTTTTTTGCTACAACAACTTCATTTTGTAACAAGAATGACAATGATATTCTTGATATTGATGTGGTGTATACTACTTTGGAAAGAAAGAAACATTGTCGTTTGGATATTGCTAATATTCATCATTTTCAAATTGAATTGTTCTTAGGAGTTATTGATCTTCAGCTTCAAGAGTTAAACAACCAATTTGATGAGGTCAGTATAGAGTTATTGACTTGTATGGCTTCTTCAAGTCTACTTGATAAATTTTCTTCTTTTGACAAACAAAAGATACTTAGACTTGATGAATTATATCCCGATGAATTTACAAGTGTTGATAGACTAGCCCTTGATGATCAACTTAATAATTATATTGTTGATATGCAGAGGGATGATAGATTTTGGGTATTGAAAGATATGATTGAACTTTTCATGAAACTAGTCGAGACAAAGAAGCATCAAGTGTACCAATAAGTCTATTTGCTCATAAAGTTGGTATTGATTCCCTCCGTAACAACCGCAAATGTGGAAAGACTATCTTCTAAAATGAACATGGTGAAGAATAGGTTTTAAAATAGCATAGGTGATCAATTTCTAAATGATTGTTTGGTCACTTATAAAGAAAGATATGTTTTTGTCCAAATCGATGATGAAAAAATCTTGAAACGATTTCAAGGAATAAAAGCTCGCCGAGAACAATTGTAATTGTTTATAGTGTTTAGTGATTTTTTTTGCTTTTGAATTTTTTATTATTTGGGATTTTAGATTATGCAACTTTTTTTATTAATCAATATTATAATATTTATTTTGGACCCTATTTTTTTAATTTCTGAATTCGTCGTTGGTCTTGTATAGTTATTATAACGGCACAAAGGGTTGATACTCACTGGGCAATCCTCTCAAATGGTGGCAATATGAACCCCGTGAGGAATTTCACTCCCACAAGATGCAAGAGAATCACACAATTCTTTAACTTTCGTGAGATAGGTTGTCATAGTGTCACCTCCTTTCTTCAACGATTGCAACTTATAATGCAAGATCATGACAGCAGTGGTAGACCGACTTGCAAAAACACTTAGCACCGTTTCCCAAACTGCAGCTGCTGATTCCGCCCTACAAATTGAAGAAGCAGATGAGGACTCACCATGGAGAGTAACCAAGATGCAAGGGCGCTATCTTGGGCAAGAAGCTCTTCATACGCGTCATTCGGACGAGTAACACCATCCTCACCTACAACCGTCTGCGACGGAGCTTGCATCACACTAGTCAGAAGCTTCTCAAGCCGATGACTTCGAACTGTAAGGAGAACCTATTGTTCCCAAAGCAAGAAATTCATCTCATCAAGAAGAACATTAATATTCTTGTTTGTGAATCCTCTCGCATTCGCAGTAAATGACTCCATGAAACACACACAATGACCACCAAAAGCAACGAAAGCAGCAGAAAAAGATGATGCTTAAAAGAAAGCAACGAAAGCTAGAAAAACAATGCCAAGATCAATGGCGATTGATACCATGATGAAATATCAAGAAGATGAAAGAACACAGTAAACACCAGTTGTATATTACAGAAGAAAGTACAAAGGGTTTTAAATACAACGTACAAAGCCAAGCATGCAAGTACCCTAACGGCTAAACAGAATAACCTTCTTAGTCTAACGGTTATCTTAAGCAGCCCTTCTTGCCACATAGACCTAACCGTATAATAGCCTCAATAGAGGATTGCGTGTAGGAGCTGTCGCTCCCAAAATTATAATTTTTTTATATATTTTAGATATTTTATTTATATTTCTTAATGAAAATATGCTTTTGTCCCTCAAATTTAATAAGTTGGTCTCCTCTTCAAATTTTATAAATTTATCCCTTTTAACATGAAATTTTGGATCAACGTCAGGGTTCCAAGTACACTTATATATAGTTCCCAATGTGAAGATCAAATACTCACCAAACCATTGCTGCAGAAGGAACATCTATTTTAGAATACTGCAGGATGTAAAGAAATGACTCAGAAGACAATCGATTCCCTGTGTTCTTAAATTTGTTAGCGAAAACTACATATATATAGCTCAATAATTTGATTTGATTTAGTTTTTTTTTTGCACTTGTATGTTGAATTTTATGCCACTAATTTCGCTGCAATTTGGCAAACAATTGGTGGTAAATCACAAAAAACTCAGTAGATGGAACTAAGATGGGCTCAAGGACCTTAATCAATGCTTGAATTTAAATTACCACTTATTAATTAATTAGAAAATTTATTAATCAAAGTATTAGTTCCAACGACACCCATATATTTCCTCAAGGAAGTTATAGTTCAAGAGAAATTAAACAGAAGGTTGAGTTTCATCATTTTTCTCTTCTGAAAGGTCAATTTTTGCCCATTTTCTATAGAATGTAATCAGCATAAGAGTGCAAGCTTGACAGAATAGACCACATATTAGGCCGATCCACAAACCCTGAATAAATCACAAACAGGAAAACACTTAGCAGAAAAGAAAAGAAAAACTATGAAATGATAGCGATAAAGAATAGGCTATAGTGAAATGATTTCCTCACCTTAACATGGAGCTTAAACTTAAACCCAAGAAGGATCGCAATTGGCATGCCGATAAAGTAGAACGTCCCCAAATTAGCTAATACTGCTATGTTTTGCCAACCACTTCCCCTTGCAACCCCTGCTTTTTGGTTTTGGATTGGGTTCGTTAATTTCTGGCATGATTTGAGAACATGAAACCAATATGATAAATTCAATGTGTGTTTCGAACCTGATAAGACGCCTTGTATGGCATCGATAACTATTGATATGGTGAGTAATGGTGTCATCTGTGAAAATTTCTTGATTATTAAATGGCTGTCGCTAAAGAAACCAGCCCAAATATGGCGGCCCGAAGCTAAAGTTAGAACAACTACAAGAGCCAGAAGGATCGACAGCTTGAGCGTCACTTTTATCGCTTGCTTTGCCCGGTTTGGATTTCCAGCTCCCAATTCATTTGACACTCTTGTGCTGTGAATTATATATAAGTATATATCTAGCACTTATAGAGTTTGAGTAACATATAGATCGCAATTGGTGTAAAAGAACTAACCTTGCTGCAGCACTAAGGCCATATGTGATCATGTATGCAATGTTTTCTGTATTTACACTGCAGATGGTATCAAGAGAACAAGAATCCACCATGATTAAAGCTCGGTGAAAATGGATATATGATTGAGAAACAAAAAGAGTGAAAAGCCTACCATATTGCAATCAATGAAGTTGATATTTCTGGATTTGGCATCAAACCAGCTAAGAACACAAGTATCTCAAAAGCCCAGAATTCCAAACTGGCAAAAAATTAGAGTATATATATATATATATCCATGTCTCAGTGTGTGTTCGATACAGATATTCACTATGAATAATTTGAGAAAAAATGAAGTCCAGAATAAGAAATGATAGGAAAAAACTCACCAAACCATTGCTGCAGAAGGAATGGCTAATTTGGAGTTCTTTATGATGTAGCGAAATGATTCAAAAGACAATCCTTTCCATGTGCTCTTAAATTTATCGGCCAAAACGACATACATGACTAAAGAAAGAAACGATATCCACATCGAAATGGAAGCCGCCATGGGAGCACCTTTGAAACCAAGGCTTGTCTTATTTACCAAACCATAAACAACCCCGAAATGGATACCCAATGGAATGACGGAGAACACGACCAAAGGTACTACAATGCTTTGTGTTTGAAGAAACCTCAGTATGTTTTGCAGAAAACCATAAGCAAACAAACCAGGTATCAGATACTTCATGTAAAGAGCCGCCATTCTTGAGATTTCAGGGTCTTGATGAAGCAAGACAAGGATTGGTTCAGTGAAGAACCACAAAATGGATATGATGACGGAGAAGAAGAAAGAAATAATGCAGGAAGCTTGAAGGTAAATCCCCAGCATTCTGTACATTTTTGCACCGAAACCTTGACCACAAAGAGTCTCCAACGCTCCACTCAAACCTGTCTGAGAAAACAACAATTGGAGTTTACAAAGTTTTCAGACAGGAACTGAAGAACAAGAACCAGATTAAGGCTAATTAAGGTTAATTACCATGAAAGCAAAACCAGTGACAGTGGTCCATGAATTGGCAAGAGTTGAACCAGCAAGCTCGACATCACCAAGGTGGCCAGCAAACATGACGGAAACCATAGTGATTGAGAAGTAAAAAACATTGGATAAAACCATTGGGACTGCAAACAAGATCTGAACCTTAGCCTCTGCGAAATCCATGACTTTTGTACAACACTTTCCATTGCTTCCTTCTGAACTACAGCCATCAGCAGCCTCTATGTTCAATGGAGCTGCCATTTTTGTGGTATTAAAGAATAGACTGAGATGGATGGTGCTCCTCACATACTATATTATATTACGTAAAATGTTGCTTGTCTTGCTTTTCGGCCCTTAAAGAATATAATATTCATTAGGCTGTTTCAATTTTAGTTAAATGTAACAAAATATATTGACTAACAAAATATAACGGTGCGTTTGGTTCACGGAATATAAGATTATCAGTGGGAATGTAAGATTACCAGTGAGAATAAAAGATTACCGGAGAATAGGATTAATGGGAATGTTGTATTTTGTGGTTGGTTGGTTTAGCAAGAATATAAGATTATCGTATTTGGTTCAAGAAATAAAAGACTATTGAAATGTATATTTGATCAAATTGTCGTTATTATATATTTGTTTTTTTAACAAGTTGAAAAATATTTATATATTTTCTTTAAAAAAAATTAAATTCATAAAATTTATATATATTTTTTACAAAATGAAAAATATAAAAAGGTTTAATGAAAGGGTAAAATTTTATTTTAATCCCTGAACTTTATATAAAATTTTAATTATAGATTTTTTTGTAAATGTAAAATAGTTTAAGGATAAATTTGTAATTTAACATTTGTAGAATTTTTATTATTCAATGACAGAATAAGTATATTTTTGAAAGAAAAAAAATTTTAAGGGCATTTTTGTCAAAAATGCCGGTAATCCAACGATACCTAAGGAAAGGGAGGTAATGACATTCCCGGTAATATACCCCAAAAAAATCTACTATTGGTGATGTAAGATTACCGAGAATGACATTCCCGGCCAACCAAACGGGGGAATGTGGATTACATTCTCATGGGAATCTCACATTCCCCCAACCAAACACACCCTTAAGGTTTGGGTTTAAGCAACTATGTTTGCAATGTGTGTGCGCGTTGTATTTATTTAAGAAGATTATGAGCAGATATTACTTTATAATCACCCTAGACTAACAAATGTTTTTTGAACTTTTTAATTTCATCTTCAAATTATGATTCTTATTTAAAATTATTGTTGATTACAAGGTAAAATCTATTTATAATCTTCTTAATCATTAGTAACACACAAATATCTTATAGATACAGTTGTTCAAATCCAAGATCTAAAAAAACATTCCCATTGACCATCATACCCACTTAATAAATTCTTATTACCTTTAGAATTAAATTCTCTAAACTAATTTATTTTTTTTAAATAAAATGAAATTAGACAATTTATTTTCAACTTTTAAGGAGAGTAAACGAAGCTTAGTAATTCAATAAATATGTTTATATAACTATTATAAACAATAGGCAAATTTAAGCCGGAATTATTGTTTTCCTCAAGTTATAATTATAATCAATATATTTATATAATTATAATACCAAACAATTAATATAAACTATAAATAAAATTATATTTATAATTGATTTGTTTATATTAAAATGAATTATTATAATATATCAATAATTTAATTAATGAAAAATGTTGGTGGTGGCTTCAAAATACAAATTTCGTTTTGTGTTTGTGCACTGCTTTGCTGACTGCGTGGTCTCAACTTTGAAATCATTTATTTGAAAGCAAAAAGCATCTTAAAAGAATTAAAAAAGAATATTGTGGTGGCTTCGAATTACAATTTTTTTTTTTAAAAAAAGGATTTTATTGGAAAGCCGCCACTGTTTTGTCAATCAAGCCTATGAAAAACATCATATTAGTTCCGGATAAAATTGATTCAAAGTACATAAAGGTATATGGGGCACTCCTTATACCTAGTGCATGGTACAAGAAACAAAATCTCAGTTAAAATTGTACATAATTCATAAACACTCTAAAAAATATGATATTAAATTTGTTAAAAAATTACCATAAGCTATTTAACAAATGATATTATATAGATTAAAAACTATAATAATTCAACAAAAATAATAATAATATATTTAACGGAACAAAACAATTTAGAAATCATTTTGAACAATTTAAATATTTAATAATTTATTTGAAATACATTGCAGAAAGAAACACAGCGATCACGCCATCAAAACTTTAATAAAATTGTAAGCGGTCATCCCGTGAGGGCATCTGCGGTCATCCCGTGAGGGCATCTGCGGTCTGCCCATCTCCCACTTCAGCTTCTATTTTTCTTTCAGAATTTCAACTAGAAAAATTAGTATACTTTTACAATGGATTGGCCCAAAATATAAATTGGATCTCTAAATATAGATCAGACCCTTAAATTGGAGCATAGTTTGTGTGTTTTAGAGTTACTTCAAAAATAGTTTATAACTAGATTTTTTTACTAAAGTTTGGGGTAAACTACACGTTTAGTATAACAACTATTACTTTTATTTCATTTCGGTCAACCACCATTAAAATATTTACGGTAATGTTGACTTATCACCATAAGATAATACCACATCATCATTGAAAAAAAATGTAAAAATAACATGCCAGGACTATTGTTTCCTTTTTAACGACGAGTGACCAAAATAAAATCAACCATAATATTAGGTATGATTTTGAAAAAAATGATAGTTGAATTATGAAAATATAACGAAAGTGATAATTATAATATTAAATGTGTAATTTACCATAAAGTTTATTACAATACGTTGTGTAATAATAAAAATCTCATTTTAATATTTTACTATAAAATAGATATTTTAAGTCATATATATTTAAAAATATTAATAAATTGATCTAAAATGTTAAAATTATCATTAATTAATTTAATCTATTTTTTAGGTAGCAATTAATTTTAAAATGAATAAATTTATTCATCTAATAAATAGCAATATAGTCCATATACATTTTAAAACTTAACAAATAAGAACACTTTAAGTTAGTGATTTTTTGTTAGTATAAGACACGTGTCTAATTGTGATTGGATAAATTTTTATTTTTTCTAATTATTTAAATTGATTATCATGTAATATTTATTTGAATTTTGTAATAGTTTGGGGGTAAATTTTTATTTTTTTAATTAATCTAGGGTGGTTACAAGTGATAATATATGATCTAAAGACTCTCAACCATATAAGAATAAATGTTCGAATACCCTACAATCGCAGTGCTCAAACCCGATATCTTTAAAAATAACAATCATCCTTTTAACTACTAATGTGACTTGATTATGTTTATTTATTTATTTATTTTACTTTTGAAATGTATATAGATTATTGTACATTTCTTTTAAAGAGATTAATTTACTCGTATATTGACATAATATATATTTAAACTAAAATATTAAGACCAACTAACAGTAATTTTATTGTTGAGGTCATGAAATTTGATTAGTCCGTTGGTACACGATAACATATGGTTTTTTTTCCATTAGGGCATCCGGGTTTTTTATTTAGCCCATTATGGTACATGTGTTTTTATTTTGAAGAATATGACAAATATTATAGTGTTCATGAAACTCGTCACTAATAAACACAGAATTAATATATATATTCGAAAACATTAAAATGTCAATTTGCCAAAGGGGAAAAAAAGGCAAAAACCGGTGGGTGTATCAAAAAGAAATATCAAGTCGTGCGTGGGCATGGAACAAAATTCTCCAACGTTTGTCGATTTGCATGGTTTTCATGAACAAGAACAAGGCTCTTTGGAATCTGATACCAATAAACACATAAAACGAAATTCATTAATGTAAAGGGATACTATAAGTTTCACATTTTAGGATCCAAATACAGACATTTTAGAAAGCATAATGTTGGAAATATCTCATCGAACAGCTGTATGTCCTTTTCCTTTATAAATTGTTCTCTCATCATCATATCTTAACCTCCAACATTTGACTTCGTACCTTAATACCCTTCATTTTACAAGCTCTACATTTGTCTCTTCACCAAGTTGTAAGCACACATAAAAATTCATTTTTTTTTTTTACAAAAGAAGATTATTATATCTTCTTCTTCAAACGAGTCTAAGAATTAGTCGAATTGATTTATGCACGTTTTTATAAGATATATGTTTTTTAATATGAAATAAGTGAAATCGGGGAATTAAAACTAAAATCTGATGCAAAGTTTAAAGAAGGAAACAAAAGAATCTAAGAAGATAGAAATGGACCAAAAATGAGAGCGATGTGAAGAACTTTTGATGGCGTACTATTGTTGTAGTTATGAAGAGAAATGGTATTGAATGGTAAAGCATCTGTGATGCGGAAGAGAGTGGAGGTAAAATATAAAAGAAAGATTGGACCATGCATCCACGGAATCAACATGATAGTTGGCTCCCATTTACTTCTTTCATCAACCTATTAAACTGCTTCGCTAGTAATCCCGAATATTATCTTCTTTAAAAATCTTAAATTCAAATATTTTTTATAGAATCGATTAATTTTGTTCAAAATAAGAAATATCTTAAATTACAATAAAGATTTACAATCACAATAGTAAATTAATCATATAATCGGAAAAATTTCTATAATCATTGAGAAAAAAAACTAAAACTAGAAACTTAAGATCACATAAGGACCACCATACAAAGAAATATTAAAAATCTAATCAAGAAACTCAAATAAAGATAGATACAAACAGATCTGATCGAATTAACAAACGAACCACAAAAAAAATCGAACAACTATTGAAAGACTACTTAGAAACACAATCTTTTAAATATGTACAGAGGAGCGGGTGAACATCTGATTGAGTACCATGGTACAATTGGCATGTGAAACCTTTTGTGTAGTGTCGCTGTCACTTATTCATTTTTCTTTTAAATATTAATTTTATAGACAAATACCAACGGATAAACTGGCAAGGTTTCATTACACCCATCCATGCAATGAAAATCAAAGGAAATATTACTTTCACATCTGGGTTAAAAAGTACGGTAAAGAAACAAAGGAGTAAAGGCTTGATACAATAAAAGCTTTGCCCGAGGTAAAATATTTATTTTATTTCCATTGAAATTTCCGATTATATTTTTTGTACAATATAATTATATGATGTTTAAGATTGGCGGATGCAGTTTTAGCGGTGCACAGGATACCGTTGAGTGGCACCTTCGATATGTCTCTCCCAAGGGTGTGTTAGTAACAGGTGTTGAGTTTTAACAACCTGTGGAATTTGTCCTCAACAGTTGTGACCTCAAACACTAAGCAAATGAATTTTAACTTGTTTTGTTTAGTTCAAACGCAACGCGGTGATAGGTTGATCATTTGAAACAATCGGTGTGCTTTGAGGTGCGCGGTCAATGGAATCCATTTGTGCTATGAATGATCATCAAAATGGAAGGACAATGGTTGCCAAAACCCTAAAATCATTGCCAATATATACGTTTATGATTAAAAAATCTCATATTATTCAAGATAGCTGATGCTCCATCCTATTAGACCGATCGGTAATTGATCCAACAGGTTCTGTTTTGAACTCCCAATCATTCACTAAACTGACGCACAAGCAAACAAGAAAAGCAAGAAGACATGTTGTTCCATTAGTGGTCCTAACATCCTTTTTTTTTTTTACCCTTTTTCCTCAAAGAACTTTGCACTCATCAGCATTTCAACACAGGCCCTCCATTATTTATATCTCCCCCTCCTCCACTGCAATCACACTGCAGGTTTTTCAGAGGAAAGGAGTGCTTCCAAAGCAAAAAAAAAACATGAATAAGGATTTCTTACCCGAGGAGGCCGACAATGACGCCCAAGATGAAGAGGAAGAGGGTCTCGGTGGTGGTGATCATGGTTTTCCGGAAGATGAAAAGAAGAAGAAATCGTATGGAAGGAGAGGATCCGCAGGCGGGGGTGGGGTGTCGCCGCCTTCTTGTCAAGTCGAGAAATGCGGACTCGATTTATCCGATGCCAAGCGCTACCACCGGCGACATAAAGTGTGTGAGATTCATGCCAAGGCGCCATTTGTGATCGTTGGTGGTGTCAGGCAACGCTTTTGTCAGCAATGCAGCAGGTTAACCTAATTACTTGATCAACAAGTCCATCAAGACTAACCCCTTTGTTACCTATAACACATATGCACTTTTCACAGGTTCCATGAGCTGCCAGAGTTTGATGAATCGAAGCGGAGCTGTCGGAGGCGATTGGCCGGACATAACGAAAGGCGCCGGAAGAGCTCGGGTGAGTCGTCGTCATCGGCAGCGGAAGGTTCGAGTGGTCGTAGCGGGATGATGATGAGTGCTCAGACGAAAGAGTCACATTACTATGGTGATGATCAAAGAGGCAGAGTTCCAATGGGATTCCATGGAAGTTCATCTCTTAAGCGTTCCCAGATCAAATAAAAGGGAGCTTAATCAATTAAGGACCAAAAACAAAAATAATATGCCCCCTCTCTTCTGTCATCCGATGGTTCATGTCCTGCACTATGTACTAGTTACTTTTACTAGACTATAAATAACAATGTGAAGCTTCGAAATCTAACTCTATCATCGAAGTTCCAACATGTTTGTGTTCTTGCCATCTTGTCTAGCTGTGTAATGATATTGTATACTCATAAGGTCGAATATGAAATTAAATCTCGTTATCACTCGAATCCGAATAATTTAAAAAATTTATAATGTAATATGCATTCATTTAATGAACTCAGTTTGATACTTTTGTTCCAAGATAAGACCAAAAGACATTATGAACTCAAATGGACCCAAAAGTTCATCCGAAGAAACCCAGATGGGCGACAAAAAGGAAATTTCTCAAGGACTTCTTTGTCTACAATTCTAGGATTCATCCAAAGAGTTGGATGAAATTAATATATATATATATATATATATATTCCTTTTGTTTTGCATTTTTAATGACACTTCGCTTTTAAAACATTAAAAAAATCATAATTAAGAAATTCAATTTGATTTATTCATACAATCACTTATAAAAATAACACATAAAGTTTCTATAAATAATCTAAAGTAATGCTTATATAATCAAAAGGTAAATCAACTATGCAAATATCTTTGAAAAAACCGATACAGCCCAATGGAGAGTGGCAGGAAAAGGTCAAGCTCCGGTGAGCGGTTCTCCTTCCCTAGCACCCCAAATGACCCACATTTGGATTTCGAATTCGGGTGTTTCACCCGCCCGGATTCACCATCTCTAGATCCATATAAAACCTCACCGGCCGATCATCTTTTCTTCATTGGCCGACTCTTGCCATACGCCTTTCCATTACAACCTTCTCCTACAACGAGCCGAACGAGCAGCATCGAAGGCAAGCGCTCATCGATGTCGGCGAGAAGCAACAATACGAACAGCAGGAGCAGTAGCTGGAGCGACAGTGGGGGAGAGGCGATTGGTGTTGTACCATAGCACAGTGGGAGGATATTATAATAACAAAGCAAGCAAGCTTGTAAGTGGTACGTTATATGAGGATTGTTATTCCCATACATGGCACTACTATGTCACTGCGGTGCCTTGTCTGAAACGTGAGGTTTCCAGGAGGAGAAATGGTGAAGTTAAGGAACAAGGCGATCGTCAAGAAAATAACATCAATGCCTTGCTTTAGATTTTTTAGCCTATTTTTGCTGCCTTCTACAGAATGCCATGCCGTCGAACCTTCCGGGAAACTTGAGAGTGTTGCATAATTCATGGTTAATCTATATATATTTATAGAGTTTGTGTTGATGAATATCATTTGTTTGAGATAGAGAAAACTGTAAAATAAATATAAATTGATTTTAATATCATTAACATCGTAAAAATTAAAAAAATACATTTGGTTGTTTGTGTTAAATTTAATTTGATATTTATTCCCAATATTTTATTAAATTATAAGTTTTAAATCTAATAAGTATATTCATCTTTCTCTCTTAAAACTCTCTTTCCTCTCCTCTCTAACTAAAATTATAATTAAATTTGAAGTTTATATAAAAAATTACAAAAATCTATGTTACTAAAGATTCATGGGCGACTACATTAGACATTAATATGCGTTTGAAATTGTTATTTTCTTTGTCTAATTAGTATTGTTTTATATGAAAATAATAAATAATTTTATTTATTATTATAATATATTCTTTTTTTGGTTGTCCTCTAATTCCTAGATTTAGTCTTGATTAATATAAACCGACTCAGGTCACACAACTGACTTTGATGGTTGAGATATAACTTAAGCGATATTAAACTGCTTACCACTTGAACCATGTTAAATTTAATGCTCTGTTTTGAAAACCGGGCCGGACCGGCCAGTTCAACCGGTTCAACCGGGAACCGTTGCTTAGTCCTGTTCAATCTAAACCGGTTGAACCGCTGTTAGTGAACCGGCCAGAACCGCTGAACCGTTCGAACCAGATCGACTGAAAACTGGAAAAAAACGGAAAAAACCGGGATTTTTGTTTTTTTTAAAAAAAAATTAAACCAAACAACATCGTTTGTTAAACGAGCCAAGTCGAACTCGAGTATTGCTGAGCTCGACTCGAACTTGAAAACTTTAAAAGTAAGCTCAACTCAACTCAAACTCACAAGCTAAATATTATCAAGTTCAACTCAAACTCGAAATATAATATTGAAACTTGAACTCAAAAATGCTTGAACTCAAAAAAAATTAGAAGCTCGATTGAAGCCTAAAATTCGAGCTTGATTGAAGTGAAAGAATAGTTATATAATTATAGTTATATAATTTTGTTATGATTTTTTTAACCCCAAATTTATTTTTTAATTATAGTTATATAATTATATTTATTATTTAATATGTTTTACCTTAAATATTATGTTGTAGTTAATTTGAATCATTTTGTTTCACTTGATTTTATGGTTTTTAACTTATATATGTTATGACTTGCTTTGAATATGACTTGTGATATAAAAAATTATTTTTTATTAAATAGTCTATTTTCGTATGATTACTCTGACTTTGACAATTCAGATTCAAACTTATCTTCAGATGAGGAGCGGGTAAAAGAAAGGGTCGATCCACATAGATTTAGAAATTTCCAATGTTGATTTGAATTTATCTTTAACCAAAAAATCTTTGAGAAAAATAAAGAAGGGAATTTAACAAAGTAAATTAAATAAATAAACAAATAAAGAATGCAAGAATAATAAAAGATTGAAAATAATTATGATGAGAGATAGTCTCCAGCTTTGCTTTGCCTCAATTTGTCTCGATCACTGAAATAGATTTTACTTCATATACTTGCCGGTTAAAGTCTACAAGGTCCAACATCTGTAACTTACTCTTCTCTCTGATGTACTAATTTTTCAAAGTCAATCCTTGGAATTAGCCCTTGTTTGGTTGACATCGTATATCGATGTTAACGCCAATGTTGTGTTTTAGTATTAGAAAATCAAGTGCTCAGATTATGGTGTCTCGATGAGAATCGAATTCGATCTTGATTTCCCTTAGCAAACTGTTGTTAAGTTTGTTCTTAGGGATTTGAATTTGCTACAAGTCGATTTTCCTCCCCAACGATAGATCACAACGTCAATCAAACCAATATGCACTCTTGGATTGAAAATGTGAAGATACTTTAAGGAAAGGTCGATTGCAAATCATGGATTGCCGAGAATCAATAAAGAAATTTGAAGATGTGAAACGCTTTTTCAATTCTCACAAAACGGATTGAGTCGTTGCTCAGCTGTCGCCTAAATGGAAGTTAAGATAAGCATGATAGAAATTATACTTGGCATATAAAAGAAAGAAAGAAAGAAAATAAAGAAGAAGAAGAAAAATAATCTTTTTAAAAATCCCAAAGCTAACTAATGCCAAGAAAACAATACATATGTAAAGCTTCACCATGATGGATATTTATAACTTGAGAAAACCTAAAGAAAATAAATTAACTAAAGGTATTAGAACACCTAAAGAAAATAAAATACCTAAAGGAATTAAAATTCTTAAAGATAATTCTAAAGTATTCAAATACGTAAATACTAAATAATAGCAAACTAGAATCCTAAATAATAGAGAGATAATTCCTAATTAAAATAAAAGTCCCCGAACATTTAATCCAATTAAAATTGTTCATTCTTGATTCTTAAAGAGCTTTCGTCCGACCAGCCTTCCTCTTTGATTCTGTTAACTGGATCGTTTTCTAGAAGTTGTAGCTAACTAGACTACATATTCTGCCATGTCGACATCATCATGCCTAAAGTCATTCCCATGCGTCCAGCCTTGATTCCAGAAAAATAAAAAATCTACAGAATTCGCCCTTTAAACATTGTTTTCTGGAAAATATAGTCATGCACAAAATTGAACAATAATGGCCCAATTTAGCAATGTCAAATAGATAACATGGAGTAATTAGCAACAAAATGTTAACAAAATAAAACAATCATAAATAGTCTATCATCATTGGAACTAAAGTTTCATCATCCTCGCTAAACTCATCAATCTGTTGATGGTCATGCTTCTTCAGTGACAAGTGTAGTTTTTGATGTATGAAGATTTACAACATTTGTCATTTCAGTGTATATCTCGATTTATTTGATTTTTGAAGATTGATGTAATCCAACCATCATAGTAACATCGTCATCATCCTCAAGAAGTTTTGCTCCATATGTGAGTGGAGTCTCTTAAATTATGTGTCGATAACTCAAACATGAAATAGAAGCTCCAAGTTTTCTTTCACTTTTTTGCTTCATTTAGTGATGAGTTACATCTATAGGGAACATCATGTTTATGGGCCTTTATGACATAAACACAACACCTTCATCAATTTGTATAATTTGGCCATTGGAATGGACAACTGTGAAAAAATTGTTAGCCATTATAGGAAAAGAAATTTATGGTGGTTCAATGAAGTTGTAAAAAGTAGAAGTTTTGTGAAGATTCACAAAATATTAACCAATTTAAAAGAAAAATGAGCTATCATCAATGATTATTTAATGCACAATGACAAAAACTTTTAAGTGATATATCATTTCATTTCAACAAATTTTCAGTAATATATTACTTCATTTCAACCAATTTAATCTCTTTGACAAAAACTTTTCACGGCCCAATAACTTCACTTTAGAAACTTTTCAATAATATTTCATTTCATTTTAGAAACTTTTCAGTGGTATAGAAGTTCATCGTAGAAAAAATGTCCTCTTTTCATAGCCAATACATGCTGACTAAAACTTAAAGGAACTCGTCATGTCGAGCTGGCAAGTTCCATTATTTTTTTAAATTCGAAAAAAATTCATATCCAAAATATATTATTTAATTGAACCCGTCACCTCGACATGACAAGTTTAAAAAAAATAAGTAAATATGAAATTCGCGAATAAAATAGATTTTCTAAAAAAACTCATCACTTCGACATGACGAGTTCCAAGAATACTGTAGCAATTATCATAAATCACAAAATAAACTTCAGCATGTTCTATTGGGATAAAATATTATTGCTATTTGTCTTATTAGGCCAAAAAAACCCTGGAAAAAAAATTGATAACAAAGCCCAAATCGTTATGGGTCTTGTTTAGCCATGTTCTTGACCCCAATGGGTTGGCTTTTTAAAAGTTTCATGAAAACGTTTAAATATATCATATTTTTCATGTTATTTTTTAATTTGAATTTCAATTTTTATATATATTTTTTATAAAATTGAGTATATATAATATCTTTTATTTAAAATTTTTGATCTATTATTTTGTTTATAATTAATTTTGTCTAAAAATAAAATTTTGATCTCTTACATTTAAATATTTATCAATTCTTGACTTGATACATATGAATATATATGATACATGAAAATGATAATGACATGATTACTTTCTAACGATGGTACAAAAAGGTTATTTTGTTTCATATTCTTTATTTGCAACATTTTATCCATCAACGTTTCAATTTTTGGTCAAAACAAATAATGTTAGATGAAAATTGTTAGTTTAGTAACAATCAACATGTTATTGACATATTGTTTTTACATATGATTAATTGATAACATGACATGTATCATATCAATTAAAATGATGATATAATGTGTTATGTCACCCAAAATGATGATGTTATATATATTATGTCACCAATAATAATAATGTGACATGTACCATGATACTCGAAATGATGACATGACATATGTTACGCCTGTAATTGAACACATGTGAAAATACTACTTAAGCAACATGTGTTGAAAATAAATTAATCAATAATTTTCATATAACAATAATTATTTTGATAAAAAATGAAACGTTAAGAGATAAAATAATTAAAGACCAGTCTGGCATTGCTTTTGAAAAGTAACTTTTAAAAGTTTTGTGGAAATGAACTTTTAAAAGTGTTGCTCGAAAGTGTAATTTAAAATTTATTGTTGAGGTTGTTGTTAAAAAATGAGTTTAAAAATATAAAATATCCATTATAGACATTATGTTGTAAATTTAAAATACAATATTTAAATTATATTTACATTTATATATGAATTATATTATTTTCAACTATACCATATTTTAAAAATTATTATTATTATATATATATATTATAAAAATTTAAACTATAATAAAAATAAAAAATACAAATAAAGATATAATTATAATTATAATAAAAATATATTTTATATAACTTACCATTAATATTTTAACATATAAATCATTAATTTTGTTTATTTTTATATAATTAAAATAAATTATTAAAAAGTAATAAATTATTTTTAAGGATGTTTTTATTAAATTATTTAAATAAAATATAAATACGTAATTAAAGTGAAACCCATGGATTAGTAAGAGTGAAAATATAAGTTTGCTTCTAACGTAAAATGGGAATGAATATGCTCGAATTATAGCTTTTACGAATGGTTTGAAACCATCGTTTATACTATATTTTTTTTCTTTCAATTTTGACCAGTTAGATATTAGTTTTATAATTAAAACTATCTTTTAAATTAAAAGTGCTTTTTAGATATCTTATCAAATAGAGCCTAAAAATTAGAGAGGAAAATAATCATTGGTACAAAACATTAAGAGTAATCGACTAATTGTGCCATTATTAGGAGGGGGGACTCTTTAGCCGATGATCATATATTGAATTATTGATTCATGGCATGACTTTGTTTTATCATAAATTGAATAATTTTGTTCTAACATTAATATTTTTGTTTACATTAATTTAAATCTAATATAAAAATATTTTTTTTTATTTTTATATAATATGAGGTTTTAATATTATGCTATTTGAGCCATTCTCAAAATATCATATCATCAAAATGAATAAAAAAAATCAAATTTGTATATACTAATATCATATCACTATCAGAAAGAGACCAATAAAACAAATCAAGGATCAAATTGTGAACGCTATCAAGTTTAGGGACTTGAAAATATTATATTTTAGCCCAACTAACCCCCCTGCCGAAGCCAAAACCCTATTCTCTCCTGTCCTTTCTCTTCCCCAACCCTTCTTTGCATACTACAGACGGCCACACGAGCATCCATTGCAGTGGATTGGAATAAACAAAAATGGCAGGCTTCAAGCTCCTCCTCTCTCAATCACGCCGTCTTTCCCTCCCCCATTTCTCATCTTCTCCTTTCGTCCCTCTTCATAGATCCCTCTCTTCTTCTTCTTCCCAATCCCCACCCATTCAACCAGTCTCCTACAACCCCAAGCCCAAAGACCCCCAACACCAACAAACACAATCCCCTCAATCCACTCCAGCTTCCCCCGAAGGGCCTCGATCCATGTGGAACCGGGAGGACCTACGTTATGTCAAAGATGTACCCAATATCTCATCCGTGTCGTATCCCGCACGCGTGGCCCCTCTACCCGAGGATCGCCCTGAACGAGACGGGGCAGTGAGGAATGCAGAAAGCGAGGAGATGGCGAGTGAGAATCGAAGAATTCAGGCGGAAAGTCGAGTTTGGAGGAAACCTTTCAGAATGGTGGCTGAGGAGGAGAAAGTTCCCTTCCCTTTGCTGATTATGCCTGAGAAAAAGAAGGAGAAGCGTCCTGTTCTTGATTTGATGGATGCCATTAGGGAAGTCAAGGTCAGTGTAAATGCTTCTTCTTTTGAAACATTTTAGTATCTCCTCTACGTTACTAGTATGTTAGTTCTTCATTATATTTTCTGTGAAAAAGAAACACTCTGTTTATTGTAATTGAAGATTCGGTACTTAGTCTATGTATTAGTTTAGTTGTTTTATTGTCATTGCTAATTTATGCACGTAATGCCTAGTAATTGTTCAGGCTAATGCCAAGGCGAATTTTGACGAGACCGTTGAAGCTCATGTGCGGTTGGGTATCGACCAAAAGCGATCCGAACTGGTATGTATCTTAGCCTGTCTGGATTATTCTTTTTAAGATTAATCTCATACATTATTTTGAAGTACTTACAATTAATTTTCGTATACTCAACGCTCTTTCAATCGAAATGCAGATTGTTCGTGGTACAATGGCACTTCCTCATGGTGCTAAGAAGGTATTCAGTGCTTTTTCTTCTAGATCCTGGGAATATGTTGCGCTAAATTGCCTTATTGTTTTCTTACAATACTATATTTGAATTTTCAGGAGGTTAGGGTGGCTGTTTTTGCTGAAGGAACAGATGCTGATGAAGCTAGAGCTGCCGGAGCTGATATTGTTGGTGGTGTTGAACTTATCGAGGAAATTGCAAGTATTAAACCACTCTTGTTAATATTGTTTTCTATATCTACGTAATTCTGTTGTTCCTTGTGTAAATTAATTACTGTTATATTACCTTCGTTAGAGTTTACGCCCTTTACGTTTTTACTTTTGTATTCTCTTTTATGTTTCCTTTAGCTTGAACAGGCAGATGTTGGAGTCAATACTTCCTTTGACATAACTCTCAAGTAATCTATGGTTTCGCTCTGAACCTGACCTTGTATCCTTGGCAGGCACTGGCAAGGTTGACTTTGACCGATGTTTCTCAACGCATAGTTTCATGAAACGCTTGTATAAGGTTCTTGATTTCAGATGCTCTTTTACATGGCGTCACCTGTTAATATTATCATTTGGTTCAACCGATGTTTGTTTATACATCTTGCAGATATCGAAGATTTTGAATCAGCATGGTCTGATGCCAAACCCCAAAGTAGGTTTATCATCTAATATTTATTTTTGTTAATTCATGGCCAAGTTGAAACACTTCCCATCGTACTTGCATGTGTTAACTGCAATTTAACAAATCTATTTGACTCGTTACTACCCTCACAACTACTTGTATAGCAAGGAACTGTAACCAAAGATGTGACCAAAGCAGTCAAAGAAGCAAAACAAGGTCAAGTAAAATTCAGAATGGACAAAACATCTATCGTTCATGTCGGGATCGGAAAGGTTACATATCTTACTTAAGAACATTATCTTGTGGATTAAGAATGTCGTTGCTGAAAGTGAGGTTGTGAAACTTTACACTTGTGGTATAGGTGAGCTTGTCAGAGGAGTTTTTGCGTGATAATGTGGGTGGATTTATGAATTCTCTTTTGCAAGCGAAGCCTGCAGGATTAAAGAAGAGTAAGTGATAATATTTTATATTTGCAGATTTGTTCTTAGTGTGACAATATGTTTCAAGGATAAATCAGTTTTTATTGTGTAACTGATATAGAGTCGAAGTATATGAACAGGAAAAACTGAAGATATTATGGATAGGATTATCTTTAGCTGTAAAATAGTTACATACAAAATAAGTTTAATCTTAAATTTTCCTATCCACAAACCATAAACTATGAAAATGGTTAGTTGTTACCCTTCGTTACATATTAACGCTGTTGAAATAAAATTTATATGAGAAACTTGCAAATTGAGAAAAAAAATAACCTTTGGATGTATGCATGCAGATAAGCCAATATAAATGTAAATATAATCATTGAGGAAGGTTAACTTGTTAATTAAATAACTTTGATTGGGAACAAATTATAACTATTTCTAATTCAATTCACTAGATAAAAGAACCAAGTATAACATGCAAGGCACGGTTTGGTTACTAAATATAAACTAAAGGTAAACCAGCAAGCATAGTGAAAACCACATAAAACAACCAATTGGATGAAATTCTAGAATAATTTGGCATCGGTAACTTTCTTGCATGGACCCTGTTTTCTGTCTGATTCTTTGTTCTTTATACATAATTTTGGTTTTTTTTACAGCTTCCAAGTATGCGGGATATGTAAACTCCTTCCATATATGCAGCACCGTAAGTTCTTCGTGTTTATTTATATTTTTGTTATAGCAGCTGATGATTGATGCCTGTTTCTTTTAGAATCTGGTATCTTATAAACTATTAAAACTACTCGCACTCTACCTGATATGCTTGTGAATTATGATTCTTGCCGAATTTGACAGAAAAATAGAAAAATTTGCACACTACGAAACTTGGCTGAGTTAGTAATTGCTAGGAACTTTCAGTTGCATGATTGAATGCTCTGATATTACCTCTTTCGGATGTTGATTATAAATGCTTTACTTCAAAGAGAGAGAGAGAGGGGAGAAGAAGAATGAAGATTGTGCTGTACGATTTCGTACGCCTGCCACCATATGAAATATTCATTATTTCAGATGTTAATTCAATGTCAACCGTCACAAACTTTCCGTTGATGTCGGGGCATGCTTGAGTTTAAATTCTATCTTGTGATTTATAAGAAGTCCATTTCCTGTGTGCAGATGGGTCCAGGTTTTCGAGTCTCTATACAGTCATTATCCAGAGCAGCAGATCACTACAGCAAAGTATACCTTAACGCCTAGGTCATTTATCCCATACTGGCAGAACATTACACTGTAAGTGTATTTTATTTGTCCGAGTGGATGGTTCCATGGCAACTCGAGTGCATCCACTGAAGCTTCTCTTCAGGATTTTAAGTTTTTGTCTACTGCCAACATGATATGATAATCTGGCTAGACTATTGTCTCTTGGATTTCTTGTGTAATATGCTGCTGATATTTAAAGCAACATTGGATTGGTCCCATCTGGTTTAGACGAAGGCAAGTGCCTTCTTAGTTTTCTTTTCTTTTCTGATTTTTTCACTTTCTTATGAATTCAGTTCTGGTCAATCTCTCTTTCTCAAATGTTTTCATTTATCTATTCAATAATTGAAATTTAACTCAACTAAACAAAACTATGAATTAAATTAAAATTATGAAAAAAATCTCTAATCATGTGGTGGCATGTGTTGTCATCTGATGAATTATATTAAAATTATGACTAAAATGATAAAATATACAAGTGCTGAATATTGAATGTGTAATTGTATTAATTTTTTTAATTTTTTACCTCAGTTAAATGTTAACGACATGATTTTATTGGTATAATTTAAATAATTAAATGATTTAATTGACAAAATTTAAAGATCAATAATTAAAATAAAATTTACTTATAATTAAGTGTCACAAGTATAATTTGTTTGAACGTAATAATATTCTCGGTAATAATATCGGTAAAATTCGAACTCTGAAGTTAGTATTTGTAGACAACTCCGGAGGAGTAGGATATTTGAGTTCCTAAGCGTACTCTGAATCTTTCCTTGTAAGACAACTACAGTCGAGCATAGGGATGGCAACGGGCCGGGTTCGGGTCGGGTATTGGTCCCCCATCCCCGTCCCCGTTTAAAAAACCGCATGGATTTAAACGGGGATCCCCGTCGGGTAATTGGGGAAAACCGCGGGGAAACGGGTATCCCCGTTTAGCATAAACGGTTATTTAAACGGGTATTGGGACGGGTATTGGGTCGGGTATTGGGCCGGGTATTGGGTCGGGTATTGGGCCGGGTATATATATATATATTTAAATTAAATATATAAATATATATTTTTTATTTAAATTAAATTTATTAATATTATATATATATATATATATATATAAATAATTATTTTTAATATTTATCGGGTCGGGTATCGGGGCGGGTAATCGGGGCGGGGATTACCAAACCCGTCCCCGTCCCCGTCCCCGTTTAAAATAAATAGGTTTTTCCCGTCCCCGTCCCCGTTTATCATCCCGAACCCGACCCGTTTAATTCTATTTTCGATTTTCCCCGTCGGGTTCGGGTTTTTTTGCCATCCCTAGTCGAGCATAATTCTCATAATCCAATCTCAAATTTCAAAATCATTTTCCCAGAAAGCCATCCATCGGAAATTCTCATTTGGTTTCCCGAAATCCCATTTTCACTGCACCCCAAACCCACAAAACCAGGCAAGCATTCACATATTTCATTTCTGGGTACCATAAAGAAGCCTGCTTTTCTCCATTCATTTGCAAATTCTGATGAAACAACTGGCTTTCAGCAAAATTCATACGAGTATTCGTTGAAATTCCAGAACGTTTTAAAAAACTATAGAAATAGCAGAACAGAAGAGATTGAGCTAGCTCTTGATCAATGCGTGGTCACAATAACTGATGGTTTGGCCTTGGATTTCGTTAAGCAAAACCGGTTCGAAGAGTTGAATAAGGTGTTTGATAAAATGTCTGAAAGAGAAGGACTTCTTGATGAATGGACTTTTCGGATTTTGCTTAACAGGTATGAAGCTGCACATAAGTTGGAGGATGCGATTGGGGTGTTCAATAAGAGGAAAGAATTCGGAATCGAAGATGATTTGGTTGCATTTCAAGTTCTTTTAATTTGTTTATGTAGGTATAAGCACGTAGAAACTGCAGAAACTTTATCAATCTAGAAGGGGAGAGTTCGGTTATGATTTAAAGACAATGAATATTATTCTCAACGGATGGTGAGTGTTGGGGAATGTACGCGAGGCTAAAAGGTTTTGGAAGGACATAATTGAGTCGAAATATAAACCAGATTTGTTTACCTATGGAACATTTATAAAGGCGTCGACGAAGAAGGGGAAGCTCGGCACGGCGATGAAATTGTTTCGGGGAATGTGGGAGAAAGGGTGTAATCCTGATGTGGTGATCTGTAATTGTGTCATCGATGCACTATGCTTCAAGAAGAGGATTCCCGAGGCTTTGGAAGTGTTTAGCGAGATGAAGGAAATTTAGTTGTGCCGTGAATGTCGCAACGTACAACTCGCTTATCAAGCACCTAGGCAAGATTGGGAGGATGGAAAAGGTTTGTGAGATCTTGGATGAGATGGAAGGGAAGGAAGGTGTTCACCAGACAATGTAACTTTCAATTACTTGCTCAAGTTTTCGAAGAAGCCGGAGGAGATTCCTGGTATTTTTGAGAGGATGGAGATAAACGCTTGCAATATATTTTGTGATACATACAATTTGGTCTTGAGATTGTACGTGAAATGGGATCATGAAGAAAAAATTAAACATACGTGGGATGATATCAAGAAAAGTGGATTAGGACCGGACTGGCTATCTTACACAGTTATGATTCATTGGTTGTATGACAAGGGAAGGGTTGAAGAGGCTTTGAGCTGTTTTAATGAGATGACATCTAAAGGAATGGTTCCAGAACCAAGGACTGAGATTTTGGTGACTGCCATGAAGAACAAGTTGAATGAGCAAGAAGGGGAAAAACACAAGAAGGATCGAGGGATAAATAGCAAATCACCGAGGCTTAGATCCAAAAGGTTAAAAAGGACCAAATCTGGGTAATGCTTCCTCTAAAATTGTAACATGGTTTTAGTGCTGTGCCAATCTTATATGCTATAAATGAAGAAAACCTTTAGTTTTCAACTGCAGGCCTTTATTTATTTACCACTAATCAAGTATTGCTTTATAGGTATTGGATATTTAAGCTATAAAATCTTTTCTGGATTTTGTGATTCTTATGTTGACCAAGCATATTGGATTGTTAAAGTCGACAACGAGCTACCATGTTTATGATTTGCAGTGGCCCTGCCATTCAGATTCTGATACTTCTGGTTGATGCAAGTATTCGTTGAAACGGAAAGAGTATGTGTTCAAATTTTACAAACTCAACAGAACATGATCCTCAAAATGTGTTCAAAGAGAGACCATTTAGACAACATAACCGACAATGGAGCAACAAATAGCAGTTTAGGTTCACTACCTAGGGAAACTAGAAGATTTCTGGACATGGCTCCTCTTCTAGGCTGCATCTGCAGCTGGAGCTGGGGTATACCAGCCATGGTGGATTTCAACAGCCTTCTTTCTCCTGGCAAGACGAGACTTTCTGCGTGCTCCGGTGTTCCTATGCAGTGTTCCAACTTTTACTGCTTTATCGATCGCTGAATAGGCATCTGCAATCAGTTTCTCAATTGGGAAGATTTCTTCAGCTTGAGCATCAGGTTTCTTCCTCAGCGTGTCGAGTTCCTCCAAAACCTTGAACAATAACACACAACACATTAGCATTTCGCGGTACATTACGGATCATCTACAAACAGGCAATAGAACATATTTACTTAGCACTTTACCGAAGTTGTTTCAGCTGTATTCAAGTGATGCATAATAGTACAAAGGATTCATTCATATGAAACAGGGCATACAAAGAAGTACCCTAGTACACAATAACCATTGTTAAGCAATCAGCTAAGTGAATTGTAAAAAGTATTTACCTTCTTCATCCGTGTCTTGACCTCAGATTTCTTTGATTTGTTGTAAATTCGCCTCTTTTCGGCCTGGCGAGCCCTCTTAGCCGCTGAATCGGCCTTCTTCTTCGGTGCAGCCTCACAAACAACAGAATAACGATTTGGTTTTCGAGTAATTGTGCTAAAACTAAGAGTCCCTGTAACACAAAATTAACACACATTCTAAACTCATAATCTCAATTTCCGCAAAAAGACATTTTCAGGAAGCAGTCGAGTCCCGAAATAAAATCTACTAGGAAACAAGTAAAGAACAATAATGGGGATTGGAAATGCAAATAAACCCAGAAACATATACTTAAAAATTTCAACTTTCCCCAGCATTTTCCAGGCAACCAGGCATTTAACCTGGGAAAAGAAAAGAGTTACCTTGGCAGAGGAGATTGTGAGAGAGATTATTGGTGAAACTGAGAGTCTTAAAAGCACTTAAGTTTTGACGCAAACCATATGAAGAAGAAGAAGAGCTGATATTGTTTTTAAGTGAAAGGCTTTTGAGTTTGGATTGAAGACCGAAGCAGGAAGAAGAAGACAGGTAGCAATTAACTGCACTCGCCATTTTTGTTTCCTTCGCTTTCTGATTATATACACTATTGAAATTTGAGCTTTCTACAGTTTCCATAACCCGGAATAGGATAGGGAAATCTTAAGCTTGAGTGGATTTTTCCTAATTCCCACTTTACCCCTGTTGTCTTCTCAAACTATTGAATACAGCTTGAATAAATTTTTAGATTTTAATTTAATAAAAATAATGTGAATCTATTTTTTTTATTAATATACTGTGATTAACAAATAACATCCATTTAGAATTTTTTCCTTATCAGTGTTAAATACTATTTAAAACATAAATGATACGACTACTTACATCAATTTTTCTTTAACTATTTTTCTCAACTAACAACCTAACGACTACATATACCACTTAATTCCATCCTCAAGATAACTATTTTTAGTAATAATGCATGACATTAGTCAGCAGACTTTTTCAAACGCATTAATAGAAACACCTTAAGGGCGTGTTTCCTTTATGACATATAGGATTATTAGAGAATAAATTCTCCCTTTTGGTCAGTAATTTTATTCTTCGATAATATTTTATTTTTAACAGTAGATATTTTGGGGTATATTATCGAGAATGTGATTACCCATTCCTTTAGGTATTGTTAGATTACCAGCGTTTTGGACTAAAATGCCCTTAAATTTTTTTTCAAAAAATATAATTCTTTTGTCGTTGAATAATAAAAATTCTACGAATGTTAAATTATAAAATTTATCATTAAACTATTTTAGATTTACAAAAAAAAAGTCCATAATTAGAATTTTATATAAAGTTCAGGGGTTAAAATAAAATTTTACCATTTCATTAAACCTATTTATCTTTTCAATTTTGTAAAAAAAATTATATAAATTTTATGAATTTAAATTTTTTAAAGAAAATATATAAATTAATTATAGTAATATTATAGTAGAATTAAACTTGTTAAAAAACAAATATATAATA